CTCTCAGTGTGCTATATATCTAGTATCATCCTCATTTGTGATAGCACCCCTCACCTCACCAGTAAGTCTTACTTTGCGACTAGTGACTCGGCCTCGTCAGTGGGCACGTCGTATCGCCACAGCTCGTCGCTGTAGGCTCTCAGCCAAGAGACCCTCAAGGGGACTCCTTATTTCGGTTGTCTATCTTTGTCATCGGCGTGCTGTGACATTAGAATAAGACTGACCTTTTATGCCCCTACCAAGTGTCTAACACTGGTAGCCGCGCATTTTCGCCCAGAGACACATCCGCCCAGGGCAGGGCTTTTTCCACACCACTTCCTTCTTATCATTCCACTTCGCCTCTACCACCTAAGCCGCTTCCTTCCTTCAAAAGGAACAGCGCTGCATCGACCGGTAAAGCACCTCAAGTGCACAACGGTATCGTACCGCCCAACAGACGCTACCACCCTTACAACCTCGACCCCAGACGCACTCGTCGTCTGACAGCAAGCAACCTACTTCGTGCCAAGCCTGACGATTACTGCTCAGACCTACAGAAGCTTCACTCTAAGGTCAGCTCGTGGGCTGAAGCAATTCCCAAAGACGCATCTGACCCCTCAGTACCCTTCTACAAACCTCATTGGTGGTCTAACGACAACGCCACCACTGTACTCACTTTTGCACTCTCCCAGGACTATCACCCTCGAGGGATCCACGAGGATCCCAAAGGTACACTTCCCGGAAACATTGCGCTGACTGTATATGCTACTATTCAGCGTTACAAAGTCTTGCAGCAGCCCCACATTGCTGCCAAGTTCACGGAGGCACAGATCCAGTGTCACAATCGCATCCTGCGACATCTAGGAGCATTGAATGAGAGGATTGGGTGAGGTGACAACTTCACATTCGTCGATAGGTGCATTGCTATCAAGCTTTGCATGGGACTAGGAAAGATTTCATTCAGAGGGATCAACAAGCAGGAATGCGTGGGGAGAGACATCGTGAGGTTCGAGAAGGAGTCGTGCTACTGGCCCTACTAGGACCAGTAATATTTTGTACTACCGTATCAGCAGTTTCATGCCCTGGTATCAAGTCAGTTTTGTATTCAGAAACTACGTGGTCGAGCACTACATCACTGACCTCTATCATCATCTGGTGTGCACGGGGTACTTCATCTATCAACCCCTACTATCAGAGCGATCCATCCCGCTTTATCATTATCCGGTTGACATCGAACTTCGAGTCACCCTGCACACACCTTTTCGACTCATTGAAACAGACATCGAGATAATCGATCCAGTTGGCGAGTGGATAGAAAACGCTTACTGGGAACGTCTTGCTCAGTTGTATCAAGAAGACGAAGAACTCTTTTGGACAAACTTGTACAGAGACTTTCCAGAACAAAGACACCCTCACCCAACAAGGCTAGAAGAAGCTGCGACACGAAGGAATCGCATCATCGAACTAGCATGCTTACCGGGAGCCAATAATCAGCCCCAGTAAAAGCTCACCATTTCGAACACACTCTACATCACCTCTTTCCCACTATCCTCAACATCAATTCCCATGTCTCAGTATAACCTTGGAGGTGTTGCATTCCCAGGAGGACACACTGCAAGTGAACCATCGGACCCCTGGAGGAGTAATGCCCCTTCTACGTCATCTGAAGCAGGACCAGCTGCCCCTGCGGATGAACCCCATACCAGCAGCACACCCAAGGTGTCGGGAGTAGTCAGAAACTCGTCGCCCATCGCCCTGCCAGAATTCACAACACCTCAGACCTGGAAATGGCAGGGAATCCCTTACGCAACAATTGAGGCAGCCACAGACGCCACTGCACCCAACACCATCCCAAACGACGTCAAGGGATGGACAATGAACATGGTGTGAGTGTTTATCATGAGAGACGTTGTAAGCTCCTATGAGGCACTTCGTCAAAAGATGGATGAACGACATGAGCACACGGTGGCCTCATTAGAAGAAGAAATCCTGGTCCGCATCCACGTCGAAATAAATGGCGGTGGAAACGCGAGACCAGCTAAAAGTCGCAAGAGCCCAGATCGGCACCCTCTCCACCAACAATGAACGGCTCATCAAGTTGAACAACAGTCTGACGCTCGAAGCCCAAGCAATTCGCAAGGACTTCGAAGACTACAAGGATGAAGTAAAGGGTCAGATGGACACCCTTTACGGCAACATGGTTGCCCTGAAGGAGGCACAGGAGAAGACCATGACCTACATCATTGGCTTAGAGTCTCGACTCAACAATGCCATCATCAATGCGCCCTCCACAGGTATCCAACCACTGGCCGGCCAATCTAGTCAATCACCTCACCGAATTAAGCTCCCCGATCCTCCCAAGTATTCGGGAAGGAAGTCGTCGAAAAATTTTGAAACCTGGTTCACGAACCTGCTCATTTGGCTCGACTATAACCATTTCATGGATGACAAGGACAAAATTCGGCAAGCCAACGTGCATCTGGAAGGCGGAGCTGCTCTATACATGAAGGAGTGTGCAATCAAGCTCGCCTCTGGACAAGACGTTGGCACATGGGCAGAATATACTCGAAAACTAGAAATGACATACAAGATGCTTGACCCCAAGTGCACGGCATAATCTTTGCTAGATGCACACTGCGCGATTCACCACAAGACAATGATCGCCTTCGCAGAGAACTTCAGGGCTTACGCCCCTGAATCAGGATACTCTGACGAAGATCTAATCATCAAAATCAGGGAACAATGGTCGACTCACATTCAGACGGTCATGTCAGTAACGGAAACTCTGGACCCATCAAAGATTTCAACCACATGGATGGATTATCTAGAATTCTGCTTGGAGATAGAAATCAAACACCTTCAGCAGATATTGGGTAACAATTCTACTGGACAGACCATGGCAAACAAGGCAGCCGCCCCCAAGGACCCTAATGCGATCGACACTAGCGCACGAATCGCACATGAACTATCCCCAGAATAGGACAGATGGCTGGCAAACAAACTATGTTTGTTCTGCGGAAAGCACACCTATGAATGAGAAAAGCGGTGCCCCTCCCCCAAGCCAGAGTACAAGGGCAAGCGGTTTCAGACACGATCTGCCCCGAAGCAAGGGCAAGGAAAAGGGAAGGGCAAGGCGATGAACGTGTGACAGGTAGAAGACGAAAGTAGCGCAGGCTCATCAGCTCAAATTGTGGCACTGGAACAAGCAATTGCTGCACTTTGCGGGATGAGCACAACATCGACTACACCACCGTCCAGTAAAGGCAAGGGCAAGGCAAAGGCGCACAGTGCAGACACGGAGTCAACTATATTGGCATCAATGGTCAAGGACACCAATGCGAGAATTGTCGAGACAGACGATTTCTCAGAGGATTTTCAGTACGAAGTGTAGACGAGTCTGGTGTCACACTTCAGGACAATTATATTAGTACCGTGAGAACAAATGTACCTAGCGACCACATATATATTGCATCCGCGGGTTTTTCTAAACATTCGATTGAATTGCCGATAAAATTCGTATCACGGGAAATCCAGACAACGGCCTTACTGGATTCTGGAGCATTCTCTTGCTATATCGATCAGAGATTCACCGAGAAGCATGGGTTTAAGATGATACCTCTAAACCACGAAATCAGAATCCTCAACGCAGACGCCAGTCTCAACAAGGGAGGCGCAATTACTCATCGTGTAGTCACAAGCATCTTAATCAGAAGACACCGATCAACCGAGAGCTTGCTCGTCACAAATCTCGGATGCATGTCAATGATCCTTGGCATGAAATTCTTACAAGAACACAACCCCCGAGTTGACTGGGAACATAGAGAGGTCACGTTCTCAAGATGCAGACACACGAGGAAGCAACGAGTCAAAGTATGCGAAGAAGAAGTTAACCTTCTATCACAACCTCGGCTCGAAGATGAAGCAATTCTCCCCGACGTACACATGGATGACGGGTGGGATCAGAAAGATAACTTCATCAACTGGATAGACTTGCAAGACCAGGATCTTCGTAACATGGTGCATGACATCCTAGGCATAAGCAAGAAGGTAAAGGAGCATTTGGTAGAAAAGCCGGCAGAAGAGACACAGGACAAAGAATATTGATTCAAATTTGTCCCTCCAGAATTTCATCAATTTGGAGATGTGTTCTCGAAGAAGAGCTCGGAAAGAATGCCGACGCGTAAGCCCTATGATCACGCAATTGATCTTGTCCCAGACGCAGCAACCCCGAGACCAGCAAAAGTATACCCTATGTCTTTACGAGAGAAGAACTCACTCGATGAATGGATTGACAGCGAACAAGCCAAAGGCTACATCCGATCGTCTAAATTCTCCTACACTGCTCCGGTATTTTTCATCAAGAAGAAAGATGGCTCTCTTAGACTTGTCCAAGACTACAGGGCATTAAACAGTGTCACCAAGAAGAACAAGTTCCCACTCCCGCGAATCAACGATCTCATTGACGGACTCTCCAGGGCTAGTATATTTACCACACTAGACCTGAGATGGGGGTACAACAATGTACACCTTCACAAAGGAGATGAGGAAAAGGCAGCGTTCATTACTCATAGAGGATTATTTGAACCCACTGTCATGTACTTCGGATTCTGTAATGCCCCTAGCACTTTCCAGGCCATGATGAACGACGTCTTAGGTGATCTCATTCGCACTGGAAAGGTGGCAGTTTATATAGATAACATCATCATCTTTACGGATAACCAGGAGGAACATGACCGTCTGACCAAGGAGGTCCTACAACGACTCAGAGACAATGACCTGTTCGTGAAACCAGAAAAGTGTCACTTCGCAACCACTTTCGTCAAGTTTCTCGGACTCATAATCTCAAAAGAATCGATACAAATGGACTCAGAGAAAATTGACGGCATGCTCAAATGGCCGGTGCCTACCAAGGTAAAACAAGTACAAGCATTTCTTGGTCTGGCAAACTTTTATCGATGATTCATCAAGGATTTCAGATCGATGACCCGACCCTTGACTCTATTGACCCATAAGGACGCAACATGGAAATGGGAAGAACCTCAACAAAAGGCATTTGAGGCCCTCAAGACTGCATTCACTTCCACCCCGATTCTAGCACTCCCCAACGCAGTCCGTTCCTTTAGATTAGAAATGGATGCCTCGGACTTTGCCACAGATGCAGTCCTTGAACAGTTGGGAGAAGACAAACTTTGGCATCCTGTCGCATATTACTCCAAATCACTCAATAAACACGAGCGAAACTATGAGATCTACGACAAGGAAATGCTAGCCATCATTCGGGCTTTGAAAGAATACCGGCAGTACTTCGAAGGACACCCTCACCCGGTTGAGATATGGTCAGATCACCTCAACCTTACCTATTTCTGCCAAGCTCAAACATTGACCAGATGACAAGCATGTTGGTCACTTTACCTTACACGTTTTAACTTCATTCTCCATCACCACCCCGGAAAGACGATGATGCGTGCCGATCCTCTGTCCAGGAGGCCAGATCATGAGAAGGGGGTGAGCAATGACAATTCAGGGCAAACTTTGCTGCGGCCTGAATATTTTGCCATCCACGTGATCTCAGCCACTCATTCCTCCGAAGTTAATGATGCAAAACTTCTAGAAAGAGTGAAATCGGCACTACAAGACGACGAAATGACCAAAGGTTACCAGCACCTACTAAAAACTGGCAAGCGAGAGTTTGGAAAAGACCTCCAAGAGTGGAACTTCGAGCATGGATTGCTGCTCAGAAGAGGAAAGGTCTACATTCCAAAAGACTCTGCGCTGCGGAATGAGCTGATCAAGCTGCACCATGACATCTCCATGGCCGGACATTCCAGATGATGGAAGACGCAAAAGCTGATTAGCAGGAATTACTGGTGGCCAGGGCTCACCATTGATGTCAAGAAGTATGTCCAAGGCTGCGTAACATGTCAGAGAAACAAGACAAGCAAGCAAAAGCCTTACGGACTGCTACAACCCAACCCAGTACCAGAGGGGCCTTGGAAAATGGTTACCTGTGACTGATTACACAGTTACCGCCAAGCCCAGACCATAGGGGAGAAAGGAAGACTGCCATTTTGGTAGTCGTCGACAGGTTCACCAAACATGCACACTTCTACCCAGTAGATGACATGGTGACAGCATCTCAAGTAGCATCGATTTTCTATACTGAAGTATTCAAACTCCACAGAATTCCCCGGCAGATCATATCCGATCGAGGCACACAGTTCTCAGCCAAACTATTCCAGGAGTTCTGTCAGAAACTTCATATCAAATCTACGATGTCTACTGCTTATCACCCTGAAATGGACGGACAGACCGAATGAGGCAACCAAATTCTGGAGCAATATCTATGCATGTATTGCAACTACCGACAAACTGACTGGGCCACATTACTGCCCACAGCGGAATTTGCATATAACAACCAAGCTTCAGAATCGACAGGTCTATCTCCATTTTTCATTGAGCATGGTCGACACCCCTGCATGGAACCAGATGTACTGGAAGGGATACAACATCCATCCCTGGAACACTTATTCCACAACCGCGATCAAGCACAGGAACAAGCACGTGCCGCTCTGTCACTAGCAGCAGAAAGGATGAAATGGTATTTCAATCTCAAAAAAAAGGATGTCCCTTTCAAAGTAGGAGACGAAGTGCTCATTCGAGGAAAAGATCTCCATGTAAAGGTCAAAAGTCAGAAGCTTGCGACTCAGAACTATGGACCATTCAAAATCCTCGAAAAGATCAAAACCGTATCTTTCAAGCTGCAACTACCAGCGGACATGAAGCTGCATCCAGTGTTTCATGCTTCTAAGCTTATAATGTTCCATCAAGACTCTATCCTGGGGCACGTACTTCCCCTAACCCTCCAATCATCATCGATGGAGAGGAAGAATGGGACGTAGAGGACATCCTGGATTCGAGAGTTAGGTACAACAAAACCCAGTATCTTGTTAAATGGTTAGACTACGACCATAGCGACAATACGTGGGAACCGCTGAAAAAACTCACAAATGTCAAAGACAAAGTAGAGGAATTCCACAAGACACACCCAGATGCTCCAAGAGCAAAGCCGCGAACACACAAAGCGCACAAAATCGCTCTGTCCGACCACCCTGATGAATTCATGTTCTTCTTCTGCACCCATCCAAATGCCCGAGCACCCTACAAGGGTTCTGCAGAAGCTGTTGGCTGGGATGTCAAGTCCATACAGGATGTAGATATCCCCCCCACACTCTAGGTTGCTCATTGGCACTGGACTTGCGGTTGATCCTCCAAAGTGGACATACATTCGAGTGGCCCCCCGAAGTGGGCTAGCCCTCAAAGGAATTGATGTCACAGCAGGAGTAATTGACCCAGATTACACAGGGGAAATCAAGGTACTTCTCATTAATACGACCAGCAAACCATTCGAGGTCAGGACAGGCGATCGTGTCGCACAACTCATATGCGAACGTTATGCTCCAGGAATCATTTCTGAGGCAGACAGTTCACTCGCAAAGCGAACCATGCAAGGTGCCAAAGGCTTTGGCTCATCGGGATGATGAACCTTGAGAAGGGGGTGATGTCACGGTTTTTTTACCTGACAAGTCATTATAGGAACAGATGCTATTAGAAGCATAT